TTCTGCTTATAAGACATTCTAAAGGTTTATGATCCATTTTCCCACTGTTTCTACTGAGAAAACCTGCTGGATGAAGGCTTTAAGACAGACTTGCTAAATATTGGAATAAAATCTTTGGAGGCTGTGAAAACATGTTCTCTTGAAGTGATATAAATAGGACAGGCTGTTACAGTTTTGAGATTGGTGGTTCCAACCATGCCTTTAAAAGTGAACAGTCTTAATGACCTTAAAGAATTATTGTATCTTTTATGTTACAATGTTCATTGGTAGCTGTCAACTCAGAAGGTCAATTTAGGGGCGCCTGGGTGGCGCAGTCGGTTAAGCGTCCGACTTCAGCCAGGTCACGATCTCGCAGTCCGTGAGTTCGAGCCCCGCGTCAGGCTCTGGGCTGATGGCTCGGAGCCTGGAACCTGTTTCCAATTCTGTGCCTCCCTCTCTCTCTGCCCCTCCCCCGTTCATGCTCTGTCTCTCTTTGTCCCAAAAATAAATAAACGTTGAAAAAAAAATTTTTTAAAAAGAAGGTCAATTTAAATGGGAAAACTCTTTCAGTGAAGAAACAATTTCAGTATGTTAGGAAAAACAAGTATATCTAACAAACTTTTTTATTCTGTATGTCCTCTGCCGAAAGCTTATAATAGTTATACAAAATGATAACAGCTCACTGGAAACAGGATTATTTATGCAGGTGAAATGTGCTTTTAAGGAATAAATAGGAGGGAAGGCAATGCCCAATGAACTAATTCACATTCCGACTGAAGTCACATTTATGGAAATGATGGGGAATGTTCTGTTACAAAATATCTTCTTATACTGTACACTGACAGAAGAAAAACTTCTGGTTTTTGAAACCAGTTTATGAAACCAGTTTAGCTATACTGGTTTCATAAATGTAGACAAAAGCATTATTTCTAAAGTATCAATGAATAAACAAGTTACATGCCTGTTAACATCACCTTGATGGGTGAACAAAATAGTAGACAAATCTGTATTTTTACAGCACTAAACTCAGTTTCAAAATCAGGATACTTTTACATAAAGTACTACCTTTCTATATTCAACAACAAATATAATTAAGAGAAGACTGATTTCTCCCCAACATCAGAATCAATAAATCTGCCACTGCCCTAAACCAGTTATGTATTTATTTGACTTCTGGTACATAGTGGTAAGCCACAGCTGTATTTTAAATATAGCACTTTCAACTCTGTAACAATGCCTTATTTTTACCTCCTATAAATTGGACAAAAAAATGAATATGGCAAGGGATTTCATTTTTCTCTTTTGTCATAAAATTTAAACTGTAAGAATAACCTGCTTACACCCAAGGCAATGCAATACTCCAAAAGTCAGCCAAATGGAATTTGAACAAATTTGGTCATCTCAATAGTTTGCAGGGACATAAAGAAGTAGTGAAACAGGACATTCTACTAATAACTACATTCGTTTTGTCTACTAAACCCTCTAAAATGGAAGAACTTCCTGGCACTGTGGATGAACAAAGAATATGCAAATTATAATAGCAGTGAAATTTTACAATAAATTTAATATTGTACTGATAGCTTAGTGTATAACTCGGGGCACCTGGTGGCTCAGTCAGTTAAGGAACCAACTCTTGATTTCAGCTCAGGTCATGATCCCCTAGTTTGTGGGATCAAGCTCCACACCTGCTTGGGAGTCTCTCTGCCTCTACCTTGCTTGCACCCTCTCTTTCTAAATAAATAAATAAACTCTAAAAAAAATTTTTTTAAAGTAATTGTATTAATTCATGTTTAAAAAAATGGCTGGAAAGCTCTACTATCACTCACTATAATGTATTTTGTGTTACTTTGCAAATAACATTTTATTTCTAAAATACCTCATTATAAGGTATTTTTTTGTGTTATGTAAAGGAATTTGAAGAAATTAAAAACAGCTATAGCATATAGGAAGGACATCATAATCTCTACAGAAGGCTGGCCATTCCTTATGTAAGCAGGTGGGGAAAAGACTAGGCAGTTAAGGGGAAATTTTTTTTTTAATGTTTATTTATTTTTGAAAGGGGGGTGGGGAGAGGGAGGGAGAGAGAGAGAGAGAGACAGACAGACCGACAGACATAGGGTGAGAAGGGGAGAGGCAGAGAGAAAGAGACAAAATCCAAAGCAGGGTCCAGGCTCTGAGCTGTCAGCACAGAGCCTGATGCGGGGCTCAAAGTCAGGAACGAACTGCAAGATTGTGACCTGAGAGGAGGTTGGAGGCTTAACTGACTGACCCAGCCAGGTGCCCCAAGACTAGGCAGTTTTAAATACCTAGTAATTAAAGGGAACTGCTCTATTATGTGTATCAACTTGATAATAAGCCCATTAACTATAGTACAAAGCAACAAAAATTCTTCTTCAACTCAAAGTGTTCTCTTTAAGATTCTCTCTGTGGGATGCCTGGGTGGCTCAGTTAAGCTTCCAACCTTGGCTTAATTCATGGTTTCATGGTTCATGAGTTGGAGCCCCACATCGGGCTCTGTGCTGACAGCTTGGAGCCTGGAGCCTGCTTCAGATTCTGTGTTTCCCTCTCTCTGCCCCTCTCTCACTTGTGTTCTCTTGCTCTCAAAAATAAATAAAAGAAAATATTTAAAAAATAATAAAAAAAGATTCTCTCTGTGATTTCCAATGCTAGGGAAATAACTAGTATCAATTTTTTAGAATAAGCAATCTTTTTAGATGTTCACAGAGAACACATCTTTTATATTCATCAGAAACCACCAAATAAAAAAACTAGCTTTTTTAACTGTAAGGGGCCAAAAACTCAAAAGTTTTCATAAGAAACACAAAGCAAAAAATTTTGTCATCATTTTAAGCATATTTGTCATCCTCTATAATTTTCTATTTAAATATCTTGATAAATATAGCTGCCCTGGACAGTTATCAACATTTGCTATCTGTCTCTGTTAGCAAACCATATACAAGATATATAGATCTACATGGCCACAATGACTTACTCATTGCTTCAAAAAACAAGACAACAGAATTAATGAGTATATTGTCTGGCCCCAAATATTTGGAAATAAATGCATCTCAATAATTTGATTTTCATTCATTAATTAGTTTGAAAAAATAAAGAAATGTTTACTCAAGCATGTTAAGATCAAAGAATAGAATGGCATATAATTACATATTCTTCTACACATTCATTTATATATGGTCATGATATTTAAATGTGACTAAAAGACTTGGTTGATATGTAAAAATAAATTGTATTAAGATGCCACCACAAATAAGTAAAAGGCATATTTCAATTAATATAAATACATCCTGATAATCTGTAATGTGAGAGATAGTATGTGATGAATTAATAAAAGTCTTAGCCACCAAAATTTCAGTGTCAAAGGACCATCTTCACTGTCCTTAATTTGGACGGAGATAACTTTTATTTGACTGATTTCTTAGAAAATGTTACCAATTTAAATATAAATTCCTTTTATTATGGCCTATAATAAATCAAATAATAATGGCTGAAGGAACCTAACCATTTTGTGATTTGAATGGTTTGTAGAACAACTGAAGTTATGTCTACAGGAATAGTGAACCAATCCAGCAGGCCCACACACTTGTTGAACTGGCCTACTGTGTGATTAAAATGATAAATCACTTAACATGCGCAAAAGACAAAATACACCGTCTATAATTCTGACACTTAAACCATTTATCTTTTTATTCTTTACTTCCATTAAAAAAAAAATTTTTTTTAACGTTTATTTATTTTTGAGACAGAGAGAGACAGAGCATGAACGGGGGAGGGTCAGAGAGAGAGGGAGACACAGAATCTGAAACAGGCCCCAGGCTCTGAGCTGTCAGCACAGAGCCCGACGTGGGGCTCGAACTCACAGACCGTGAGATCATGACCTGAGCTGAAGTTGGACACTTAACCGACTGAGCCACCCAGGCACCCCTTTACTTCCATTTTTAAGAAGTAAAACAATTAGGAGGTACAAAAAAAAATAAAATTATTCAGCAAAATTATGTCCAACGGCTTTCCATCACACACAGAATAAAATACAAAGAACATCTAGCCCCAGACTACTTTTCACCATCACCTTTCACCACTCTTCCTCACAATCACGGCACTACTCCAGACTAGCAGCCTTTTTGCTGGTCATGGAGTACAAAAGACACCTTCAGGCACTGGTGGCTCTCTTTGCCTGAAATGCTCTTCCCTTGGATGTCTTCATCCAGAACTCTGTTCAAATATTACTTCCTCAGGAAAAACTTCATGACCACTGTATCTAATGCAGCACTGTCTATTCATTGTTCTCTACCCTACTTTTTTAACGGTACAAATCATTCCTTGACATTATATTTCCATTTTGTCCATCTCACCCCACTAGAATAACCAGGACTTGCTTTGTTCACTGATGAATCCCCAGTGCCAAGAACAGTGCCTGACACAGATGTAGGTGCTCAGTAAGTATCTGGCAAATCAATAAAAAAAAAATGAAAATCCATTTAATCCACAAATTTTGGATTGTGTATTATGAATCAGACACTCTAACCTCTAGATATGCAAATGAGCTACGACAGTCTCCCAGGAAACTAAGCAGGAGGTAAAAACACAAATATGTAAACAACATGTTATACTTTGATAATATAGAAGGAATAATACAAGAAGGAAGAGAAGTGTTGGCCAGTCACAATAGACTGGAAACAGTCCGTGATCTTTAATAAGTAGATCACTGATGATCGGATCACACATTAACCAATGTGTTCTCAGTAGTAGACTACACCCAATTAAAAGCAGGAAAGGTAAGGAATAAAGAATAATCTTCAAAATATTTTGAATGACTGATTTACCAAAGAGCATTTTCATTCTAAAAAAGTAAAAGATTAATATTAAAGAATTTGTAACTTCACTTCAAGTGCTATTAATCTTTTCATATAAATACATATATGCTTTAATATTTTTAGATTATATAGCCACTAAGAGTAAATCAGCATACAGCTAAATTAAAATATGCACAAAACATTCCTTACCTGAATTTCTAAAATCATCCTTTCAATCTCATCTTGTTGGCTGTCTATTATCTAAAACACAGAAAATATTATCAGTGTGAATTAAAAATTTTTCCACTGCTTTTGAAAAGTACCAATATTTAGAAAACAAAGGAAAACACAGGAAATAATGAATTTATTTTTTTAAATCAGGGTATGATTTTTTTTTTTTACAAAATTATTCATACCAAGTATCCTTTAAATAGACATATTATTTGGATCACACATACATAAATCTGCAAAAGTTTTCCTCTACTTCTTGATAAAACTCTATGTAATTTATAAAAATAACTTTGAGACAGATGTCGAACAATTTAGGAAGGAAAAGAAACCCTTTTGTTTTGCTAAAAGGCAATATAATTTCTTCTTAGTTTGGCTTTAACAAAAATTTGAATTATTTAAATTTACTTAAATTGTCATTTTCAGAGAGACTGGCTGGCTCAGTCAGTAGAGTATGTGACTCTTGATCTCGGGGTTGTGAGGTCAAGTCCAACATTGGGTGTGGAGCCTACTTAAAAAAACGTGGGGAGCCTGGGTGGCTCAGTCATTGACTGTCCAACTCTTGATTTTGACTCAGGGTCATGATCTCATGGTTGTGAGATTGAGCCCTGCATCGGGCTCTGCACTGGGCATTGAGCCTCAAGATTCTCTCTTTCCTCCCCTCCCCTGCTCTCACTCTTGCTCTCAAAAAAAACAAAAAACAAAAAACACATTAAATAGGGGCACCTGGGTGGCTCAGTCGATTAGGCATCTTACTCTTTATCTTGGCTACAGGTCATGATCTTACAGTTTGTGAATTCAAGCCCTGCATTGGGCTCCACACTGACAGCATGGAGCTTGCTTAGGATTCGGTCTCTCCCTTGCTCTCTGCACCCCGTCCCCCCACCCCACTCATGCACAAATTAAACATTTTAAAAAGTATAAATAAAAGAGTCATTTTCTTTCCAAATAAAAACATCCAAACTAAGTTATTAAGTATTAACAAAAATATAAAGTAGCTATAACTTATATGTCCATACACACATAACCAACATAACACAGATTTCATATTTATTATCAAAGACATCAACTGACCTTACTAGCATTCTCATTTTGTTCTCTCAGGGTATCATTTTCATTTTGAAGCTGTTTTGCATCTAACATGGGAAGGCGAATTCCATCTTCAAGGCATCTTTCTACTTTTTGCTGCAAGCTGTATGTTTTAGAAAGACAATTAAATAAAGAAAACCCACTCTATGTGCTGATTTTGGTAGATGACTTCAACATAAAAGATATTCCCTTCTTAGGGCCTATAATATTTTTTAACTGAGTGATAATGAAGACCTACAGACTCCATATGAATAAGAATGAGCACCTACATCTCATAGAAGTAAAAAATACAATGGACGCTGGTCATCTTTTTAGAAATGACAGATTTGAGACCAGAATCCAAAGCTGCTTAGTGTGTGACATCCTTAGGCCCTAATGAAGTTCCTTATGACCCTAATCTGAGCTCTGCAGTCCAAATCCTGTTCTTTCTTTCTCCTGCAAAAGCAGAATTCCTCGATTAAGATGATTTTGTTTGGGAGCCTAATTATATGGATACATGTCTTTTACCTTCATTCTGAGCTCAGCCAAAGTTTGTTTGTAAGGATAGTTGTTGCCAAAACCAGTAGAATTATTACATTTCTCCTTCATTAATAACAGCAGCAATGTATTATTCCTCTGCTATTCATGGCAGAGACTTGCATTACAGAGAGAAAACAACAAAAGGAAGCCCCTCGGGTATATTAAGAGTAAAAGATTGAAAGGGAAAAAAACATGTTAATCTTGAGAAAAGAAAGAATAAGTCATGTTCTGGTTAAAAGGAATGACACCATTAACAATAATGACCAAAATCAAAACAGAAAGACACCTCGGAATAGTTCCACACTAGCTTACAATCAGACTTAAGAGTTGCAGAGCACTAAAAGAAACACACTTCTTACAGTTTGGGTTTTGGTATTTTCATTATTTTTTTTATTTTTTTAATATGAAATTTATTGTCAAATTGGTTTCCATACAACACCCAGTGTTCATCCCAACAGGTGCCCTCCTCAATGCCCATCATCCACCCTCCTCTCCCTCCCACCCCCGTCAACCCTCAGTTTATTCTCAGTTTTTAAGAGTCTCTTATGGTTTGGCTCCCTTTTTTTCCCCTTCCTCTCCCCCAAGGTCTTCTGTTAAGTTTTTCAGGATCCACATAAGAGTGAAAACATATGGTATCTGTCTTTCCCTGTATGACTTATCTCACTTAGCATAACAGTCTCCAGTTCCATCCACGTGGCTACAAAAGGCCATATTTCATTCTTTCTCATTGCCAAGTAGTATTCCATTGTGTATATAAACCACAATATCTTATCTCTTCATTTTAGCCACTGACTGGCATAAGGTGGTATCTCAGTGTGGTTTTGATTTGTATTTCCCTGATGAGGAGTGACGTTGAGCATCTTTTCATGTGCCTGTTGGCCATCTGGATGTCTTCTTTAGAGAAGTGTCTATTCATGTCTTCTGCCCATTTCTTCACTGCATTATTTGTTTTTCGGGTGTGGGGTTTGGTGAGTTCTTTTAGATTTGGATACTAGCCCTTATTTTTCTTCTTTCAAGTATTGTGGCTTTCCTGTGCTTTCTCTCTCTTCTAAAAATAAAGAAGTGAAAGAAGTGCCATACCTACATTCTGGGCAAAGAACTGACAGTCCTACCTGGCACAAAAGTGCTTCCAATATGTTAATAAATAATGGCACCAGACAAATTTTCATGTATTATGAATGCAGTGCACTGCTTTGTAATATATTGTTACTTGTCATAAAACTATTTGCTTTTTCAGTCTAAAAGTGACAAGTGTATTATTTCTATTTCAATGAGCTTTCTCCCTCCAAATCAATGTCAATACACTGCTTCTATGTAGTTACAACATTCTAAGAAAAATAAATTACAGTAAAAACTATTAAGGTCTTTAAAAAAAGGAACCAGCTATGAGAAGGGAACAACATACTGTGTCATGAAAAAGTACCAAATAAGTCTTTTTTCATGTACACATTCTTGTTTTGTTTATATTATGAAGCATGCCCACTTAGGAAAGTAATAAATCTCTTGAATAGCAAAGGTATCAACTTTATTACTAGGGATCCCACCCACATATCTTACTTACATTTTCACTTCTAATGAAAAATTTTTATCTGATGTTTAAATACCAAGAGTTCTCATATATTAATAAAGTGGGAAACTTAGAGACATTACATAGGCACAGATAAATGTAATGATATAATTCATAGTCACATACACATCTGAAGTTCTTCTGGAAACAAGAACTTTAGTTTATCATATAGCTGAGGAAACTGAAATAACACCCTTACCTCCAAGTTCAAGTGACACCATAGCTATATAAGTACTGAAGAATTACAGAAGACCTTATTTGGTCTTTTATATCTACTTGAAATTAAAAGAAAATTTCTGGGATGCTAACATCTCTGAAAGTATCAAGGTAAAAAAATGGAACACAGATTCTGAAATGCACTGTACTAAGTCTAATGAAAAAGACTAGGCTCAATTTTGAGAAAATCTAAATATTTGATTTTTAGGTATTTGAGAAAATCTAAATAAAAGAGAAGGTATATCATATTAAATATATAAAAGCACACAATGGAACAAAACTAATTATATTCAAGTGTTCCTAATTCTATTCATAAAATGGCACAGTTTGAGTTTGTGATCAAAATGCCCTATAAAATCTCTTCTCATCTTCTCTAAGAAAGAAAAAGAACATATGGTTGAAATAGTGGAGGTCAGGAAGCTGTTCTGAGAATAAAGAATAGACTATAAGATGTGGAGTTATAGGAAGGGAAATTAAAGAGCAAGAAAGCAAAAACCAAGGGAAAAATAAATGTAAAGCTAAAAGTATATGAATTTTAGGGGGCACCGGGGTGGCTCAGTCGGTTAAGTGATGGACTCTTGATTTCAGCTCAGGTCATGATCTCATGATTTGTGAGAACAAGCCCCACGTGGACTCTACCGACGGCAGGGAGCCTGCCTGGGATTCGCTCTCACTCTCTCTCTGCCTCTCCTTCACTCACTCTCTCACTCAAAATAGATAAATAAACATTAAAAAAAAATTGTATGAATTTTTTGAAGCAGAGATTAGAAACACTGAAGACCATAATGTCTCAGAATCAGATGTTTTCTGCACTGAAATCTAAGAAAAAGAGTAGACCAGGCATATTTAAGGCTTTGAAAGTAGTAAAGCAATATTAACATGGAATTATCAGATGGATTTTGATTAGAGTTACATGCAATTGGTAAAAGCATGAGGAGTATATTTCTTAAATTTAGTTTTTGTTGCTTTGTTGTCTCATTCTTCCGTATAGTTTTGGCTACTTATATTTGATCATCTATTAAGGTTTAAGTTTTATAAAACAGAGTGCATGTAGTTGCATATATAACATAGTTCTCTAGGTTTTTTAGCAATCTAGTATTAATTTTCCAGATTAAATATATTAGCTAAATATACTAATAAATGATATTCCCTGTCATTCTAACTATATTAATTTAAAAGAGAAGAGTACCATCAGGCAAGATACATGAGTAAACTTGGAAGATACATGACAAAATAGCCATACCTGTTGTTCTACAGTAAGGGAAAATGGGAGTCAATTATTTCACTTTGATGTATCTCATTAAGGAGTGCAGTCTGAGTATTTGCTTCTCTTTGTTTACTTACTTTTTGGCAAAGCCATCAGATTGTGTTAATACTTTCAGTTTCTAATGGTTTTTTTGTTTTTGTTTTTGTTTTGTTTTTGTTTTGGCAGCGGGGGGTGTTAACATTTTCACCATTCTCATCTAAAACTTTTGGCAAGATGTCAATATGTTGCATTAAAATGTGAAATCATAGCCAAGACAACCTGCTTCAATGACATAATACTTACAGTTCTTAAGAGTTCACCTTTCAATTTGACAATAAATTTCATATTAAAAAAAAATTAAAAAAAATAAATAAAAGTCCCCTACTATGGAAACCAATTTGACAAGAAATTTCATATTAAAAAATAAAAATAAAAATAAATAAATAAAAGTCCCCTACTATGGAAACCAATTTGACAATAAATTTCATATTAAAAAAAAAATAAAAAGAGTTCCCCTTTAAGATAACAATATAGTAATAATTACAAATTAATGTATCTTAAGTGAAATGCTTTATGAAAAATATGAGTAAAAAAAATAAAAAATTGCTAAAGGTTTGTTTACCTCTGAACTGTAGTTACCAACTCCTTTTCTTTCTTTTTCTGGCATATTAGTTGTGCCTCTTTTTCTTGACACTGTTTTTTGATCTCTTCAAGCTTTTTTTCTGCATCCAGCAGAGTCTCTTGCAAATTCTTATTTCTTTCTTCTAGAATCTGAAGCTAAGGAGAAAATTCTTAAAGTTTATAACACATAGAATATTAAATGTGTTTCTGCTAGAAACTGTGTGTTCTAAATTATTAACAAGCTTGTGATTAAAATCACAGTATATTTTATCTAGAGCACTTAATAATACTTTATTTCTTCCTTTGTGTGTAACAGGAGCTAGGAGAATGAGATTACGGAGAAGAAAAGAATGGGGTCAGAAATTTGTAGAGGACAGAGAGAAAGGTAAATGATCTCAATTTGGGGATACTTTAAAAATTTTATTTTTAATTATGCTAAAATATGCAGAACACAAAATTTACAATCTCAACCATGCTTAAATGTACAATAAATAGTATTATTACATTCACATTGTTGTACAACTAATCACCAGAACTCTTTTCATCTTGCAAAACAAACTATATTCATTAACAACTCCCCTTCCAGCTTTGCCCTCAGTCTCCAGCGACCACATTTTGACTTTCTGTCTTTATGAATTTGACTACTTTAGGTACCTCATACCATATTTATCTTTTTATGTCTGGCTGATTTCAATTAGCCCAATGGCCTTAGGTTTATCCATGTTTCAGAATTTCATTCTTTTTTATAGGTGAATTATATGGATATGCGACATTTTATCCATCAGCGATTGGGTTGCTTCCATCTTTTGGCTGTTGCAAATAATGTTATTATGAACATATGTATGTACAAACATCTGTTTGAGACTCTGCTTTCAATTCCTTTGGGTATATCCAGAAGAGGAATTGATGGTTATTGTTTAAAGAAGCATATCATATGGTTTTCCACAGTGGCTACACTATTTTACATTCCCATCAACAGTGCACAAGGATTCTAATTTCCTCACATTGTCACCAACACGTGTTACTTTCTTTTTTCTTTTCTTTTTTTTTTTTTTTATTAGCCAACCTAATGGTGTAAGGTGGTATGAACATGTGTTTTTACATCTATATTCCTCTCTGTTCCTGCTCATGCCAACTCCTGTGGTGCTTCTTTAGTTCCTTCCTGACATTATCCTCTCTCAGTCTTATAGACAGAGAATCCCTTGTAGGCCTAGAGTCTGTAAAATAATCACCCTCCATGGATTAAACCAACGATTCTCAACTGAGAGTGATTTCTCCCCCAAGGTGATATTTGGAAATTTTTGTAGACATTTTTGGTTTTGGGGAGGCAGGAGGGAAGGAGCAGTGCTACTGGCATCTAGCAGGTAGAGGCCAGAAATGCTCTTAAGCATCCTTTAATGCACAGGACAAAATCCTAGAACAAAAATTATCTACCCTTTAATGTCAATAGCACTGAGGTTGAGAATTTCATGATTAGAAAAACTGAAAAAGACTGAAGAGTAAGTTTCACAGATTTATAAATAAGGTTTTGGGAAGAAAGGCTTCACCAGAGTTGGTAGAAAGACTCTGGATAAGGTACTTGTAAAAAAGAAAAATGGTCAGAAGAGGTAAGAGGAGTGAATGGAGACCACAGACTAAGGTGTACGAATTTATGGAAAGGTTAAGATGAATGAAGAGAACAAATACCTGGAAAGACAGTCAAAAAACGTCTTGTTGAGCCTTGGCTGAGCCAGAGATTATTGGGTAAAGCCAGAGAACATATGGTGCATGCATATATGTGTGGGATGGGGCTGAGACTGGTTCAGAAACTACCTTTTAGAGTAAAATGTTAAGTAAAAGAGTTAACATACAGGTTTTTCAGGCAAATAACCATATATTAATTAACAACAAGAAAGATACACTCATGCTTAAAGTTTCTAATGAAAGTTAATTCTAAAGACAGCAATTAAACACATCAATTTAATATAATTAGCCAAATGTAGAACCAAAATTTTAAATTCTAAAAATTATGAAATTTCTAAAGAGTCAACCTAATAAAGTGGTTATGTTTTCAAGTCATTTAAAAGTGAGCATTTTATTTCATGTTACCTGAAGACTCTGACTCTGTACATCATCTAGAGTTGGAAGATCAGCCAGATACTTTTCCAAGGTCTCAATTCTTCTCTGCTTTTCTTTATTTTGTTCGGATTCCTTCTGACATTTCTTTTTCAGGCTACTGATATATCTATCTCTGGTTTTAAGCTAAAGAAAAAAGATTATGGATCTTCAGAGGCTTTGTGCCATTAAAAAAAATAACAACAGAAGCAACAGTTCCAGGTTATAGTTTAGACTACCACCAACTCAGGTAAGATTCACCTTATTTCATCAATTCTAAGATTCACATTTTTAGAAACTGTCATATCACTGAAGTCAAGAAATTTTTTGAAATTTTTGTTTGCTTTTGGAACTGATGGCATCCTATGAACTGCAGTTAGCCAGGTAGCAGGGATAACATAGCTTTTATTGCCTGCACATGTACAAACTTGGTCAAAGCTATTCATCTCTGTCATTTCAACACTGTGTATATGTTGCAACTATGGGCTGAGTTTGAATGATATTTAAAATACCTTAAAATATTACATTATAATTTGGCGTGGAAAAAAAAGTTACGATCTGGATAGACAAAGAAATAGAGCCACAGGGTTTAATTTAAGAATTTTAAATTTGAATTTTAAAATCAATGAAGCAAATATTCGTCTCTGGAGGGATGACTTCAATTTCTTATTTCTAACAAAGCTATATCCAAACATTTCATGTGAAATAAGAAAGGAAGATACCCGGGGCTCCTGGGTGTCTCAGTCAGGTTAGCGACTTTGGCTCAGGTCAGTGTGGAGCCTACTTGGGATTTCCTCTCTCTCCCTCTCTCTCTTTGCCCCTACCCCACCTTGCATGCATGATCTATCAAAATAACTTAGAAAAAAAAAAAAAAAAGGGAAGAAAGGAAAATACCTAAAAGTAATTAAAGCTGTTTGTTACTGACTTGCAAAGAAATTGTTTATCACGTACTCAAGAAATGCAATCAAAACCAGGAGAACGTACAAAAATCACCAGATACTTGGAAAGAGATATGGGCACTAGTGAGACCAGTCCATACCTCAAGCCAAGACTACTGTTAAGGTATTTATTAGGTCATAATTGAATTTGCAACATATTTTTTTTTTCTCAAAGTTACATATGATAAAGGTTTGCCATACCACTGATGTCATTTTAGGATTGACAGAACATGTTAATTGAACACCTATTATAGAACACTATATGGTACATGATTCCAGTATATCTTAATTTGTGAAGGGTGAACCTCAGATTTTTATGTACTAATTTTTTCACCTTTCCACCTGAAATATATGATCTTTAAATTTCATAGCACAAATTCAAAGTTCTTTCATATTTCAGATCAATTACAAATAACATGTGTACACAGTTACCTAAAAAGTAAACTCTAGACTCTTATTCACCTTAAATTACTAGTCTTCCAAAAACTTACAGGTTTTTACATCCTTTTCCCATATTCACCAGGGAAATAAGTGTCAATAATTAGTAGTATAATAGTTCACTTTCCCAAATTTTATTAAAGCTAACACTTGTGCACAATCTGGTTTCTTTCATGTCTTATCTAATTTCTTTTAAGTCCACTGTGTAACAACTTTTATTAAAACAAGTTCAATTGGAAAAACAAATCACCTCTCCTTTCATCTATTCATTCCATCAACAACTTTAAGATATATTTATTAACTTGGGTAAAGAGCAACATTGATAAAATAGTTAAGTTCTAATATTTACTGGGGCTTTCTCTGGATTAAAGGCAAGTGTGATGCTGTGATAATTTGTGATCTTTCAGAACTCACAGGTTGTTGTGACCGGTAATCATCTGAAAGACCACATAATGCCATTCCCTTTTTTCTCCCCTTTTCTCTTTTTTTTATTGGAGGATAATTATCATGCAGTGTTATTTTAGTTTCAGGTGTACAATAATTCAACAAATATATACATTCCTCAGTGCTCATCAAAGTAAGTGTATTCTTCACCCCCTTTATCTGTTTTACCCTCCAGCCACCCAACACACACTCAGCCTCTCTGGTACCACCAGTTTGTATTCTGTATTTAAGAGTCGGATGTTGGTTTCTCTCTTTTTCTCTTTGTTCATTTGTTTTGTTTCTTAAATTCCGTGTATGAGTGAAATCATATGGTATTTGTCTTTCTCTGACTGAGTTATTTCGCTTAGCATGATCTTCCCTACATCCATCCGTGTTGTTGCAAACAGCAAGAACTCATTCTTTTTCACGGCTGAGTATTATTTGGTTGTGTTTATATGCCACATCTTCTTTACCCATTCATTTAACAGTAAACACTTGGGTTGCTTTCATATCTTGGCTATTGTTAAGTAATGCTGCAATAAACACAGGAGTACATGTATCTTTTTAAATTAGTGTTTTTGTTTTCTTTGGGTAAATACCCAGTACTGGGATTAATGGATCATATGGTAATTCTATTTTTAATTTTTAAGGAACCTTCATACTGTTTTCCAGAGGCTACACAAATGTGCAGAGCACAAGGGTTCTTTTTCCTCTTCATCAACACTTGTTATTTCTTACATTTTTGATTTCAGCTATTCTGACAGGTGTAAGGTGGTATCTCGTGGTATTGAATTTCTCTTACAAATGATATATCCAATAAGGAAGTTAATATTCAAAATATATAAAGAACTTATACAACTCAACACCAAAAAACCAAATAATATGATTAAAAAATAAGCAGAGGATGTGAACAGAAATTTTTCCAAAAAAGACATAAATTATTCCTTTTTTGAATATGAGGTCCAGAGATCTTTTAGTGACTTAAGTACAAGTCACTGAGACACAGGTGGGATTCAAATATAAACCTCTGACTGAAAAGCCAATGTTCTTTCAGTTCTTTCATACTCCGCATAACCAAATTCCCCCAAATTCTCTAGCAACCATTTCTGCCTGTATTCCCCATCAACAAAGCCTATTCTTGCCTTAGCAAATGACCCTGTAAGTTACAGAAATAAAAATAACCAGCCTATTTTTATTAATGTCGCCCCAATTTATATTAATTTTTTAAGTGTCTTAAATGTGACACAACGATGTCCTCAAAGAGAAGCCAATGGAATAGGTTAGTCATGCTATCTTCTCCTGTGCAAAGATGTCCTAGTTTGCTTTTTTTTTTCTTTGGCTGGACAACTGTCTTCTTTGTTGTTGTGTCAAGCTTGCTGCCCTTGACCACAAATGTCTGCCAATACTCTCCTACTGGATACTGTTTATGCTATTTGTTGACCACAAGCTGATTACACATAATCACTAAGTCTGGGTTGTTGTTGTTGTTGTTGTTTTTTAAGCCCTGTTCACTGATGAGAAGCTCTTTTGTTTTGTTTTGTTTTGTTTTTAACTTAAAAGTTTTATGTTGGTTACTAAAATCTGAGCTCCAGTAATTACCTCCAGGTAAATCAGCTATCACCAAGAAATCTTCCCTATTCAATTTATAAAAGGTTACTTTTTTTTGTTCAAGGAAATATTATTTAGTATTGAGATTACTTCTAGAAGACAATGAGGGCCCTGCTTTCAGAAGAGGTTTACAGGGGCGCCTGGGTGGCGCAGTCGGTTAAGCGTCCGACTTCAGCCAGGTCACAATCTCGCGGTCTGTGAGTTCGAGCCCCGCGTCAGGCTCTGGGCTGATGGCTCGGAGCCTGGAGCCTGTTTCAGATTCTGTGTCTCCCTCTCTCTCTGCCCCTCCCCCATTCATGCTCTGTCTCTCTCTGTCCCAAAAATAAATAAAAAACATTGAAAAAAAAATTTAAAAAAAAAAAAAAGAAGAGGTTTACAAACAAATATATTTTTATTTTAAATACAGTTATTAGAACAAAATAGATTACTGAGGAAATGTTTTCCTCTAAATTTTCTTATAAATAAACCATTATTATTAGAACAAAGCATCAGCTGTAGAGTTAAACCATCCTGAATTTTACTCCTTGCTTTTCAATAATTTCTACCTACATCCAACTGGACAAATTATTCAACTTGTCTCAGAGCTTCAATTTGCTCAGTTTTTAAAATGGGGAGATAGTATATATCTGCCAGGATTTTTGTGAAGATTAGTTAACATTAAATGAAAAAATGCAATTAATGCACCTTCACATGCTATCTGGCATATACAAGAAAGAGCTTATCAAAAGGCAATTTCTGGGGCACCTGCGTGGCTCAGTTGGTTAAGTATGTGACTTTGGCTCAGGTCATGATCTCACAGCTTGTGAGTTCGAGCCCCACATCAGGGTCTGTGCTGACAGCTCAGAGCCTGGCGCCTGCTTCGGATTCTGTGTCTCCATCTCTCTGTCCCTCCCCCAATTATGCTCTGTCTTTTTCTCAAAAATAAACAAACATTAAGGGACTTCTTGGGATGAGCACTGGGTGTTGTATGGAAACCAATTTGACAATAAATTATATTAAAAAAATTTTTTTAAAGCAACTTCTATTTGTTATTTTTCACATTGAATGCTTTTCTGTTGTAGTATCAGTCTTGATCAGGATAACAGAGAGAAAATGCAGAAGGAAACAATGCAGTCCAATCTCATGTGGGCCTCAAGTGCTGATCAGTTAATGTGCTACCCATGAGTCTATTTACTAGCTTCTACACTCCCTTCAAAAACTCACATCATCTCCATGGCCTCTGACACAAACTCTAACACCAACCCCCCTTCTGAATTTCTCTGGTATACACATTTCCATTCTCAACTGCCTCACTCCATATAGAGACTGTTCCTCTTTCCCAAAAGTAATTCTTCCATCTTGGCATCTGTTATCAACCTTTTCCTATTTTTCTCAGGAATTTGCTCTATCATACACTTGCTCTGACATCTTTAATATCTAATTTATTCTTATCTCACTCTTATCTCTCTTCTCTTCTCTCTTGGCAAAAATCACTTGAAAGCATTCATTCATTCATTCATTCATTCAATATGCCAGGCACCATGGCTGGTGTTACATATGCTACAGTGACAGACTGATACATCCCTGCTTTCCTAGAGCTTACAGAGAAATATTAAAATACAATGATTACTCAAAATTGTGTTAAGTACTAGAAAAACAAAATTGACAGAAGTGTTAAATGGTACAAGCACTGGGAGAACTCGGGTGGTCTTTCCTTTTCTTTCTACCTCACAGGTACATTTATTCACATCAGAAACAATACAGCACTTCTACAAATGTATAGTGATGTTCCACGTTCCCATCTAACAGAGCTTGCTGAAATTTAAAGCCAGCTGACCAGGTTCCATCTGATGTGTACTCCACGTAAAGCTGATTAATGATGACCATAAGCAGATGCAGGACTTGGAGCTTTCAAAGCTTTACTTCTTTTTTTTTTTTTTCCAACGTTTATTTATTTTTGGGACAGAGAAAGACAGAGCATGAACGGGCGAGGGGCAGAGAGAGAGGGAGACACAGAATTGGAAACAGGCTCCAGGCTCTGAGCCATCAGCCCAGAGCCCGACGCGGGGCTCAAACTCACGGACCGCGAGATCGTGACCTGGCTGAAGTCGGACGCTTAACCGACTGTGCCACCGAGGCGCCCAAAGCTTTACTTCTTTTATGAGCACTCCTGATGTTATAAATGATGAAGCCCATCAACCTCATTCCTACCTCCAAATCTCTTGCTAAACTTAGGTACAGCAGGCCTCTAAGTGGGAATCTAAGCATTTTTATAAGGCTTTGAAGCATCTCAACACAGGATCACTGGCTCAGGATGCCCCAATCCATAAGGCCAACTCAGAAAGGTCACTAAGTGTGCAGAACTCAGGTAGTTTCTTGTAAGTGAAACCTCTATCGTATGAAATGTATGATTCAGAAATTCCACTGTTAGGAATTTACCCGGGAGAAAGGAAAATATTCATATAAAAAATGTCAGTTACAGGAATGTCTACAGCAGCCTTGTTGATAATTTCCCCAAAATGCAAACAATTCAAATATCCATTAACAAGAGAGTAGACACACCATGATATATCTATATAATACAATGCAACTCAGCAGTAGATAGGGACAAACTACCAATATATATACAACAATATGAATAAATATCAAAGGTATTAAGTGAAAGAAAACCAACACAAAAGAATACATACAGTATGACTCCATTTATATGAAGACCAAGAAGATTCAAAACTAATCTGTAGTGGTAACAGTGTTTCAGAAACAGGAAGTAAACTAGACTAGAAAGAAGCACAAAGGAATTTCTTGTGACTGAAATGTTTGCTTATTAAGTAAACTCTATGCCCAACATGGGGTTCAAACCCATGACCCTGAGATTAAGAGTTGCATATTCTACTGACTGAGCCAGCCAGGCACTCCTAGTGATTGAGAGGTTTTGATTTGACTATATATAAATTATGCTTCAATTTAAAGAAAATATAATAAATAAAATACACGGAATTGTAACAATAACAACAACAAAAAAAGTGACTGGAGACAGAGAGGAAAGCAGACAGGCAGGGAAAGACTGGATTCAGAGACACCAATGAAGAGGCCCTTAAAAAAGCTTTTGCCAAGAGATGATAACTTGGACCACTCTGGTAGTGTTAGATGGATTGTATATATATTTAGGAGACCGGCTTAATGTTGGCAAGGTTTCCAGCATGCATGAGTAACTGAATATACAGTAATGAACACTAAAGAAAATTTTGTTTTATATTATTTAGGAAGAAGAGGGCACTCAGAAGGCAAAATAAGAATTGTCTTTTGTACATGAACAGCTTGAAATATTTTTCAAGTAACAAAAGATGAGAAAAATCTAGATAAGACATAAAAATATATTTTAAAGTCTGTATCCACCGAATCATCGTAATTTGCACACAATCTTTCAATAGAATAATAAGCTGGGCATATCAAGAGTCTAAAACCAGTTCTGCAACTAAGTAGCAGCTTAAGGATCTATGCTTCTTCAGTAAATTAGGACTAGCAGGTAATCTACTCGATCTTTAATGACACTATAATGGAATGAAAGGAAATACAAAAATACTTTAATAAAGGTAGAAAGGTCAAATAAATATAAGGATATATCACATGCATAAAGATTTTGTTTTTTCACTACTTGTTCTGAATCAGGGGCTTCAGCTTAAATAACTTTAAGTCATGTTCTTATGAAAAAGACCACCTTTATTTCATTTACCAATCCTTCATACTCAACAAGACAAAGAAACAGGGACCCAAAAAAAGAGAAGAAAAAGTTATTTGTGTCACATCTCAGTGTAGGCAACAAACTTAAAAAAACGTTTCACTACTAGTTAGCAAGATGTAATATACTGAGGCATTTTTAATCCCTCAAGAAAATCTCTAGATTTTTGTAGACGGCACAGACTTTCTTAAAAGTTACTACAAAACTAATCATTTTAATCTAAGTGTACAACCTGGTATAACACCTAAAATATAGTAGAAGACAAAGAATTATATGTTGAAGCAATGTTATTGACCTAATTCAACTTTATTAAAAATATCTACCTTTTCCTCCAGTTTCTTCTTTTCTTCACTAAATTGGCTTATTCTTTGTTTGAGAAACTGGTTGAGCTGTAAAACCTCTTTTTCAGTAGATGCAAGCTTTTGCTCAAGTTCCTCTTGCTGGGAATGGGATACTGACTGATCACAAAATGGAGTTTGAAGTGAACTGTTCTCATACTGTGGCTATCAGGAAAGAAAAAAATAAAACAGGTTAAAGATTTACTTGTCCTGAAAAAATGGAAAGAAACTGGAAATAAGGTATTGTACAGAGAGTGTATATATAGGCTACTGCAACAGACAGCCCTTGGCATGAATCCCAGCTCTCCCACTTCCTAGTTATGTGCCATGATTAAATCACATTACTTACTTACCAATGCCAAACCTGTCTTCTCATCTATAAATCAGAAATAATAAAGTCTACCTTGCAGTGGTTTTTTTTTGAAGAACAGAGATAAAATACGTAAAGTTCCTAACACATAAAGAAAAGCTTAATAAAGGCAAGGTTTTGGGTTAAAAAGTATAATTAGAGACATAATTAATACATTAAACAGAAACGAAAGGTCTAGGGAGATAAAAACTAAAGAACTAATTCTTCACAGGTGAGCATTTCCAGCTAATATTAAACTCAGTAAGTAATTTTTGAGAGGGACAAAGAGAGTGCATGCGCACAAGCATGGGGTGGGGAGGGGGTGGGCAAAGAGAAAGGGAGAGAGAATCTCAAGTGGGCTCCATGCCCAGTGCAGAGCCTAACACAGGCTCAAGAACACGACTATGAGATCATGGCCTGAGCTGAAATAAGAGTCAGACACTCAACCGACTGAGGCACCCAGGTGCCCCATCAATAAGTATTAATTTTTTCCTCTAACTAGAATGTAAGGTCCATGAAAGCAGGAATTATTGTCCATCTTAGTTGCCCTTATATCGCTATTTCCTAGAATAATCACTGGCATAAAATAAGAGCTCAAAAAATAATTGCTGATTGAACAAATGCATCCTTGTTTCTATGAGCGAGGTTTTATAAGGAATTCAGGTTAGATCTTTCCCCTACCGTGCAGCATTATAATCAGGAAAAGGCAGACAGAAAATACAAATATTTCCTCAAAAAATTAAAATGTTCTAAGTACTGTAAAAGATACCAATACAGTAATGTGAAAGTAAACAGACAATTTATTTTTCCACTTACTCAACACATATTTACTTAAGCACATATATTAAGAATTGTGTACTAGGGATTCAACAGTTAATAAAGCAAGGTCTCAGCAGTTTAATAAAGTATCACACAAAGAAAGACAATGAAAACTGTCTAAGTGCAAAGACAGTTGTACTGTAGTACCTATGGAAAGGTTTTACAGGAAGTGAACTTGAACTAGACCTTGAAGAACTCATACTTCACCAAAGGAGGAGTTATAATTCAAAAATTATACAAGTAGCATTTATCGTGTGCTGAGTATTTCAAAGATGACAGACTCTACCACTGTCCTTTAAAAACTCAAATTCTAATCAGAGGCATCAGAGAAACCCTCAGATGATTATATATATAGGGCACCATACAATATGGTAGCCAAAGAAAAGTCGTTTTAAGTAAAAAGAATGGGGAGGTGGGAGGACAAATGAAGACAACATTGGGAGAATGAGGAAAAAGCCTTTTCTGGGAGGTGGCTTTTGAGATACCCTTTGAAAATAAGGAGGATTCTGGCAGAAATGGAGAAAGGAAGAGCTCAGGTCATGCATGATCTCATGGTTCATCAGATGGAGCCCCACATCGGGCTGTGCTGAGCATGCTGAGCCTGGCTGGGATTTTCTTTCCCTCTCTCTCTTCCCCTCTCCTGCGCTCTCTCTCTCATTCTCTTTCTCAAAATAAATAAATACAACTTAAAAAAATAAATAAATGGAATATATACAGAGAATACCCATCGCTGTTTAAAGTATGGATTGTAAGAGGGAGGATGGATATAAGGGGAAATTTAAAAATCTATGTGGGACCATACTGTTGTAAAATCACAAGATTCAGAGTTAAATCTTAACTCATAGGAAATGAGTTAAGACCATAAAACCACTGGTTATAAAACCAGTGATGGTTTTATAACAACAAAGTAACATGATTTAAGAAGATTGTGAACTCTGTTTTGTAAATCTCTGTATTCCCTGGCATTTAGCCCAGTAGGCAGACTCTCAATAACTTTGTTTGTTTATTTATTTATTAATGTTTATTTGTTCTTGAGAAAGAGTCAGAACATGAGTGGGGGAGGGGAAGAACGAGGGAGGGACACAGAATCTGAAGCAGGCTCCAGACTCTGAGCTGTCAGCAGAGCCCGATGTGGGGCTCAAACTCACAGACCCGGAGATCATGACCTGAGCCAAAGTTGGATGCTCAACCGAATGAGCCACCCAGGTTTCCCAACTCTCAGTAACTTTTGATTGAAGGGAAAAGAAAAGACTAAAGAGAACAAGAGAGTGCTACAACCACTGGAAGCAGTGGACAACAGGAATTAGAGGATACTGAGAATGGATGAATGGATATGAATATGTCACTTTCAGAAATTATTCTAACCTACTTAGCTGATAAAAAAGAGGAGTTAAACAAGAGCATGGAGAACAGAATGAAGAAAGTCTGGAAGTAGAATTGAGAGGATTTAGAGAAAATTATTTTTTAAGAAGTGTACAGACAGGAAATGTTAGATAACTAAGGTTTGAGATTTTTAGTTGAGTAACAGGGAAGATCCTATTCTGAGCCAAAGTAAGAAGGTCATATAGGAGAACAGCTCTAAGCAGATGTACTTAATTACAATTAGAGCTTATTAAGATTATCATTTGAACATACAAATAGAGAGGAAGTTAGAGAGATGGGTCTAAAATTCAGAAAGATGGGTGGGCCAGGATAGGAAACTAAAAAAAAAAAAATAACACAGACTTATAGTTTATAATCTGGCATGTAATGAGCTCAGAAATTTCCATTCCATCTGTTTTATTAACAAGTGGAAAAAGCTGAACACACTGAACAATCAACAATTCTTCTTAGATATATCAGAAGTAAGGTCACAGGGTAAACTTCTGCCCCCTAAATTGGAGAGACAGATGAATATAGAAAGTCACAGTTACTAGAACAAAATCCTCCTTGCAACCAATGCTGGAATAGGAAAACCAGAACTGAAGTTGATGAATTGCTGGAGGCTCAGAATGGACAATTCTGAGAGTCAAAAACTCCAAGGGAGATCTAGTCATAGGAGACACTCAACCTTTTTGAGTTTTACTGCCACGAGCTCTATCAGGTCCTCACAGTGATTAATTATCAGGGGAAAATCTCTTCATGTTTATAGCAGGAAGAGGATAAAAGGAACCATTTGGAAATACACCAGAACACCACATTCTTCTTAACAAGACCTGTCTTCAGTAGAAACTATTAAACTAGAGACTACCCTACCTAGAAGGGAACTAACCTACCTAGAAGAGAAATATTCAATTCTAGTTGTCTCTAGCCATCCTATCTCACTTAAGGGTAGGAAAGAAAAAGACAGAAGCACTCATTAAGTTCAGAGTCCAAAATCACAGGCTCACAAAAAGACTAACACCTAACCAAAGGACTACATAATACTTCTCTCTACACCTTACCATTATATTATTATTTACCACATTTCCTTTTACCTACTACATCTGATCTAACTTTCAACAAAAAATTACAAGGCACACTAAAAGACAAAATCACAGCTGGACAGACTAAATAAGCAACAGAACCAGAGTCAGATATGACAGGAATGTTGGAATTATTAGACCGAAAAATTTTTAAGACTATGATCAATATAGGGCATTAATGCTAAGGCAGAAAACAGGCAAGAACATATGGTTAATGTAATAAGCACAGAGGTGGCTATCCTTAGAATAAAAAATAAATTTTAGAGATCAAAAATGCTGTAACAGATATAAAGAAGGTCTTTGATGGGCTCATCAGTTGACTGAACACAGTTCAGGAAACAATCTTAGAGCTTGAGGATATGACAAGAAACTTCCAAAACTATAGAACAAAGAGAAAAAAACACTGGAAAAAAATAAAAGAGAATATCAAAGAACTGTGAGATAACTACAAAAGGTATATAACAATACAAGGAGAAGAAAGGAATGAAAACAGCATTTGAAACAAAAATGACTGAGAATTTCCCCAAACTGTCAACTACCACATCTCAGATTCAGGAAGCTCAGAGATCAAGCAAAATAAATTCCAAAAAACTACATCGAGGCATATTATACTTAGATTTCTGAAAATCAAAGATAAAAAAAATATCTCAAAATAAACCAGAGGAAAAAACACCTTATCTCCAGACAGGCTAACATAATAGTTGTTATCTGACTTCTCAGAAACTGTGCAAACAAGAAGAAAGTAGAGTGAAATATTTTGTGTTGAGAGAAAAAAACCCACCAACCTGTAATTCTATACTCTGAAATTATTCTTCAAAGGTGAAGAAGTAAAGGTTTTCTCAAACAAAGTTGACAGAATTTGTTGCCAATGGACTTGGCTTGGAAGAAATGTTAAAAGGAAGTTCCTCAGAGGGAAGGAAAATGATATAGGTCAGAAACTCAAATCAAGTCAAAGCAAATAAAAGCTTTTATTTGTCTTAATCTAATAGATATGCTTATTCAACAATAATGGCAACAATGTGTTCACTTAGTGTGTGTTTGTGTGTGTGTATGCTTAAGTGAAATGAATGACAGCAATGATAGGAAGGAAGATTTAGTAGTACTTAATTATTACAAGGAATTTGCACCACTCATGAAAGGTACAGTGTTATCTGCAAGCAGACTTGGGTTGGTTGTAAGTGTATATTGCAAACTCTAGGGCAACCACTAAAAAAAGAAGTGTAATCTATATGCTAAGAAAGGAGAGAAAATGGAATTATATTAAATGCTCGAGTAAAAGCACAAAAGGAAGACAAAGTGTGGAAGACAAAAATAGGAACAAAGAACAAGAGCAAAAAAACAGTAACAAACATGGTTGGTTTTAACCCAACTGTATCAATAATCACTTTAAATGTAAATAGTATAAATACATCAACTGAAAGACAGAGACTGCCTCAATGGGTCCTAAAACAAGACCTGACTATATGCTCCCTACAAGAAACCCACACTAAAAATAATGACACACACAGATTAAAAGCAAAGGGATGGAAAGAGATACGTCATGCTAACTTCTC